CCCCCCCCCCCCGGGCAAAGAGCTCAGGCTCCTCCAGCTGCCCTTCCCTGAGGATTAGCAGGTTTGTCAGTCTGGAGGAGAGGGGTTCAGTCAGGAACCTTATCAGGAGATGGGGAGTCCCCCGGCCCATGTTTGTAGACCATATCACCTTTCCCACAGCATTTGCCAAAAATACTCAGCCTTGTCCCACACCCAAAATACGGCAGACTAAACCAGATCTGTTATTAGAGACACAGGAAGGAACTTTCTCCAGCCCATGAAAACACCTCTGTGCTTCTGAAAATAGGCTGGGCAACCTAGCAGCTCAGGGAGGCTCTGTTTAAAACATATAAAATAAAACAAGCTGGGGTTATATTCAGTGCAAGGGCCCTAGGTTCAATACCCAGCACGGAAAGGGAAAAAAAGAAAAGTAATGCAAAAATGATCCTGAAGACCATGTTAAAAAATGATTTTATCTTAATTGTAGTTGTGATGGTTTTACATCTGGAGAGAAATTTCCATTTGATCATGTTATTGTATTCTCCTTGTGCAAGGTGTAAAGCAAACAGACTGAGTGAATATAATATAATATAATATAATATAATGTAATATAAATACCCAATATTTCAAGAGAAACACTAATGCTACCGTTCTCTCCCATTCTACTGTCCAAGTCTGGCTCTGAGCTGTCCACATGGCTGCGTGTGTATTGCAAAGGCAGCCTCTTCTGCCACTGTTGGATGGAGTTTGTATGCATATGAAGTAGTCCGAAGATTCTGTATCCTTGCTAGAGGACTGTTTATTGGATTTTCCTGTTATTCAATCAGAGATGCTAAAACATCCCACCTCAATCTGTGGTTTTCTCTGTATTTCCCCCTTTAACTCTATCGGTTTAGCTTCGTGAATTTTTATGTTCTACCTTTTTTGCATGAGAATGGTTGCTTTGTATTCCTGGAAAATTTCTCCTTTTCTCATTGTGCAATGTCTTTCTTGGCTTACTATCATATCCTTTATCTTGGAGGCTCCCTTTTCTCATATTAATACACTTACACCAATTTTCTTATGATTAAACTTTGCATGTTGTAACTTTTTCATTTCTTATACTCAACTTATCTATCTATATTTCAAATGTATACTTTCTATAAGTTGGATGTTATTACTGCTTTTTCAAAATCATTTTGTGTTGAAATTATTATGGACTCACAGGTACTTGAGGAATGAGATGTTCCATGCACTCCTTACCCAGCTTCACCCAATGTTGGCCATCTCCAAAAATAATAGGGTGATATTAAAACCAGGAAATGGACTTCTTCACCAGCAGTATATGACAGGCCTGAATTCTTGTCATCCACTCTTGCATTAGGTAACTGGGATTTTTCATGTTAGCAATTCGAGCAGGTTTTGGTGATATAACATCATGGTTTTAAATTGTATTTCTTTAATGGCTAATTATGGTGAATATCATCTCTTTTTGCTAAGGGTTTCACAGGGTCACTAAGTTGCCAGACTGCACTGGGACTTGTGATTCTCCTGCCTCAGTCTCTCTCCAGAGTTATCTGATTGACAGGCCTCCTCCACTACACTCAGGCCCAACATATTTTTATTTGCCTATTTCGTAAACTGCCTTTCATTTCTTTCGGCTCTTTTCAAATAAGATTTTTTTATTTTGAGTTTGGGGGAACTTTATAAAATACATTCTAGACATTTCTACCTTCACAGACAAGTTCTGCACATATTTTGTCCAGTTTATGGTGCTGGTTCACCTGGAGCTCCAATGGAGAGGTGCAGCCACCTGGAGAAGTCTTGCCAGGTTTCCATCAGGCACTGGATAACGCTGATTCACAGCCCAGAGAGAGAGGCACGGTTCCTCAGAATTTGGCACTCCTGGGGAAGAAGCACTCGGTGAGAGGCACTGGAGCTCTTGCCAGCCCCGTGGATGAGGCCTCTGGCCTGGCCACAGAGACCCTCACGGAACCCAGAGAGGGGACACTTGGGAAGCAAGGGATAAGAGAGCCCAGGATGGCAGCTACAGCCAAGGAAAAGATGCCAGGAGGGAGGACTGGGCCAGGAGAGTCCAGGCCATGAGGCTCTAGGAAGGAGGGGCCTGAGGTCTATGCAGGGATCAGAGCTCAGAGGACACTTGAGGGCACATAAAGGTGAAGAGAGGTCCCAGGCCGCTCCTGAGACTGACCTGAGGGTCCCTGGAGACCCTGTGCTCCACCACCTGGGCATGGCCTGAGGCTTTCATGATGTAGTGCCTGAGGACGGTGCTGATGACACACTTGGGAGATGAATGACAGTGGTGCAGATGGAGGCCGGCAGCTGCTCCTTGGCCTTTTTGCCCTGCTGCAACCAGGTGGAATCCTGGAAAGGGTAGAGCACCATGTTTTTGAACAGCTCCTGGGGAGAGATAGTATCACTGGGCCCTGCCACAGACCACAGGGCCCCAAGCAAGGACAGAGACCACTGATCAGCCTGGAGCTCAGAAAGTCAGGACTGTGGCTCATGCCTTGTGGGAAATTCTGGGTTCTGTCTCCCTGCCACAAGGACATCTTATATAAGAGTGACCCTATGGTGTGCAAGAATGGAGCTGGGATATGAACAGGAGGTGGGCTCACCAGGTCTTGATGGCAGATTCCTGGAAAGCGTCCACACTTGCCTTTCCTTCTGAACCCAGCCACTTACCATGTCCTTCAGCGTGACCCAGTCTGCCACCAGATCAGGAGGAGCCCCATCATGTGAGGCTTCCCTACACTCACCCTGGTTTTCATGGTCATAGGTGAAGGCCAGGATGGCACCACTGGTAGAAGTGGGCCTGCTGTGGCTGGCTCCAGCTCCAGAGTCTCAGTTCCAGTCTGCTTCTTCTTTGGAATAACCCAAGGTAGCTTTCTAGGTGCACCTGGCCATGGAGCTGGCACTGCAGCCAACTCTTGCCCCAGAATGGGTGGTGGATCTACCGCTGGCTTAGAGGCTGCTGCTGGAGCTGCCTCTCGCTCTCCAGTTGGACCTGGCACTGGTGCTGCTGCCTGGGCTGTAGGAAAAAAAGGTGCCACACATCACTGTCTTGCTCTTAACCTTTCCCTGCCTTCCGGAAAATCTTCCAACCCTGATTTCACAACAGGACATCTGTTCAGACTGTGGTCCACCACCTGAGGGGCCCAAGGCTCATGTTTGGGCCTCACCCAACCCAGCCAAGAGCCTCCTCCTGGTGGGTCCAGCACCAACCTTCCTCATGTGCTTTGATGGACACATCCCAGGCCTCCTCACCCCCAGGCTTGGCCTTCATAGTCTGTGTGTCTTTCAGCTGGGCCAGTAGAAGGTGCGCACAGTGCTCCAGGTCTGAGCCAGGCATGTGCAGCTGCACGTACTCCACCAGCTGCTTGAGGCACGTGAACTCCGGAGGCTGCTGGAACTGGTCTGGATACTTTTCCAGCCATGTACCCAAGATGGTAGAGTGGCACTGAGGACAGGTGGGTGGGCAGTTTCAGGGACCTGACCTCCCCTTCTCAATGGCATCCCAAGGCACACCTGTGGGGCCTGGGCTACTGTGCTCCCCAGTTCATTGAGTGAACAGCCTCGCTCAGCCTGAGCCCCTCAGACTGTCCATCCAGAGTTTGGCCAAGAGACCCGGCAGAGACTGCAGAGAGACTTCACTGCAGGGAGCCTAGATCAACTCTCCTTCTTCAGAGAAGCCCACACTCTGCTGTGTGGAACTGGTAACACACCTACCCCTGCTCACTAGAAGGTAAACTCTTCAATGGTTTTTGCTCCCACCCATGACCCTGGTGACACCTCAACCTGTGACCCAGGCTGCCAGGCTGTTTCCATGTCTGAGACACCTATGGGTCTTGTCTTCCCATCCATGCTTCCGATGAGGGGTGCAGCCACCCCTTACTGTCATCAAGTCACCTGGAAACTACCAGCAAAGTAGCAAGGGCACATATGAGCATGCTGCTCCCCAAACAGCCAGTGTCCCAGTGAGGGCGGGGGTGGACCCACAGGGCTGGAATGGGCTCTGGTGGAACAGATCCTCACAGTGCTTGGCTCAAATCCCTGGGCCCCTCCTGTTCCCTGGTCAAGGACCCCATCCAGAGCTCTTATTTCCTCCTCCTGTAAGGGAAGCCCCAGACCTCAGCCCTCCAGCAGGAAACAAATACAGGAGCTGGTATTTGCTCCCCTCCCTATCTCAGGTCCCTAGGTCTGCAATCTGGACACAGGAACCTTCCCTCTTGAGCCAAATCCCACTCACTTTTTCAGTTAATCCAGAGGCCCACCGATTTTGCTGGAGTAATGGAGGCTTTGGCTGTATGTAGAGGCCATGAGGTTATCACATCTGTAACCAGCATGATTAAATTATACTTTAGCTGTGAGAATTTTTCCTTAGAGACAAGTGGCTTCTCCAAACTTCCTCAAGCTGAGGACTTAATTGCCACCCACTCTTCTCCTAAGCCCAGACCAAAGGAGCCAATATGCAGATGCCGCCATAGGAGGTCAGGCCCCATTTCATTTCCAGAAGGAAGGGGGTGAGTGGAATATGTCTGGGAGCCATGGAGCAAGCCTGGAGAGGTGCCTTCTTTTCTGGTGTGCCCCCTCCCCTGTGCCTTACTGTGAAAGACCCTGCACACATGGACACTGAGAGATGGTGATCTGAGGCAAAGGCAGCACCTCCATCCCCTTGGAGTGAGATTTAAAGAAAGCCTTTCTCTCCCCTGCCCCCCAAAAATGGCTTCCTTTGGTTTTCCAGAGGTGAGCAACCAAACCTGAGCAGATGGATATGGGAGACTGGTAACACACCTACCCTACCTTCTTATGACTTCTTGTGTCACTGTCTACACTGACATAAAAATAAAGCCCAAGAGAAAAGGTATTTTCCTGCCCTTTTTCCCTGAATTGGGTTAAGTACCCAGAAATGTGCCTGTATACAATTAGTGCTTCATATCTGTGTGTGTCATGGATGAACCCAAACATCACCTTCGCAAATATCTCCATGGGTCTCAGGCCCCTCAGTCCATCTCCAGGGCTCCTGTTCTGGCTGTATCTAAGAGAAGAGTCTCCCAGATGGAATCCAGAGCCTCTTTCACAGATGGGGAAACTTTCTCTGAGGCCTCAAGTGAGGAGCCAGTTTGAGAGCTTCTCCATGTTGATGAAAGGTGAATGTCACACTCAAGTGGACCACAGTGCTGGGTAACCAAGGTACACGATCAAGCGCAGGACAAGCATTTGCAGGCTCAACTCCCTTGCTCCTGACCACACCCTGCAGGTCCTCCTATTAGCATTCCAATTTTCACACAGCAAACTGGATCACCAAGTGGTGCAAGGCATTCCCAAAACCCAGCCAGATGGAGCTCCCCTGACCTACAAGGTGGTGCACAAACCTTTTCAACAGCAGATCCAGCTCCTGCTGCATGGTCCCAAATCTTGGTAGTTTTGCAAAAACTTGTGCAGGAACAAACAGTTCCCTTGAAGCAAGGATCGCACAAGATGGTTGACCATGGACTCCCTTACATCCATCTTCAAAAGCTCTAAGCAAGCTTGAGTATCCAGAGTCAGGCTTGACTCCTTTTCATCCTGGAGTGGGACCTTCAAGGGAGATTAACATGGAAACAGTAGTTTTATTAATCACCTGTTTGTTTCTGGGACCAATATTCAATGCAACTTAGGAGGAGAGGGCCAGAGTTTTAGCTCAATACTTCTGCCCCCTGCCTCGAAAGTGCAAGGTCCCGAGTTCAATCCCAGGTACAAAAAAAAAAAAAAAGAGAGAGAGATGAGGAGAAGCTTATTTGGGCTCATGGTTTTAGAGAGTTTAGTTCATAGTTGGCCGGCTCCAAGGCAGAAACAGCATGATCCAAGGGCATGGCAGAGGAAAGCTGTTCAACCCATGCAGCCAGAAAGCAGAGGAGGAGAAAGAATCCTGGGACAAAATGTACCCTCCAGGGTTACACCCACAATGACCCACCTCCCCAATCAGGCCCCAATTCCCAACAATATATTCAGCTATGGAGTTATCAATGACTCCAGTGATCCGCTGATGAGTAAGTAAGCTACCCACATGATCCCATCACCTTCCAAAAGCCCCACCTCTGGATACATGAAACATTTAGGGTCATTTTCAATTTAAGCCACAACCTTAGAAAACTATCAAGTGACTCTGCCATATGATAATGTGAGAGCAGTACAGACTTTTTGTTGACACTTGTTCATGTGCTTGGGCACACACTCTCACACATACAGCCAGGGAAGGTCTGGACCCATACAGGAGGGATCAGAGCAGTGTGCTGGCCTTTGCTGACCTGCCCTCTGCTCCTGTGTTTCCCACTTTGACTCCTCTGAAAAAATGGCCACAGGCATCGTGTGAGACGCAGGACCCAGTTTCTCCAGATGCGGCTCACTCCTATCCTGAGAGATCTCCTGAGGCCTGAGCCTTGGGAAGTCGGGAGATGGTAAGAAAACATACTCACATGTCCTGTGTCTCCAGACAAGTGAGCAGGCATCAGTCAGTGGTGCTATGTGTTGCTTGGCAACAGGGTTCTGAGCAAAGTGTCATCATAAAGAAGTGAGGTCATCTACTAGGATCTCTTCAACTGAACTTTTCCTCACACTGGACGTAAAATAGCCCCTGGGCTGCTGATTGCCCCCAACTCACACTCAGTACACAACCTGACAGAGTGACACAAAAACACTTGGCTGAATCTCCCTGGGCAGGCCAGGGCTTAGCTGGCACCCCAGGTAACTGATGAACCCTGCCACTCTTACTTTGGATTAGGTTTAGACATTAGGGTTTAGGGTTAGAAGTCAGGTTTAAATTTTGTTGTGAGGGTCAGAGTTTGTTTTAGTGATTAGATTCTGGGTTAGGATATAGGGTTCAGGGTTAGGGTTGAGGGTTAGGGTTCAGTGTTAGACAAAGAGTTAGGGTTTAGGGGTAGGGGTAGGTATAGGGGGTTAGGTCCTGGTGTAGAGCTTATGTTTTGCAATTAAGGTTAGGTTTTGGATTAGTATTAGATTCCTGGGTTAGGGTTTGAGTAATTGTGAAGGCTACAGAAAGTTTTAGTGGTAGGGCTTTGGTTAGGATAGATTTAGGGTTAGAAGTTAAGAGTTATGCTAGCAGTTTTTGTTAGGTTACTTTTAAAGATTAGAGTTAGGGGTTAGGATTACCTTTATAACTAGCTATACTTATAATAAAATTAGAGGTTTCATTAAATTTGGGAACATTCAAGATTTTTGGCTTTCAATAATTCTTTATAATATCTAAAATTTAAATCACCCCTGCAAAACCATAGAAATCCCTAAAATCACTCGTAGGCTTGCTGCCATTTTTCTGTTTTCACAGTTTCTTTCCTCTGTGACCCATTGGTTGTTCAGGAGGGTGTTGTTCAATTTCCATGTGTTTGTGGGTGTTTTGTGGTTTCTTATGTTATTGATCTCCAATTGTATTGCACTATGGTCTGATAACATACAGGGGATAACT